CTTCTTCCCTAGGGGTGGACACAAAACTTTTTTCTGAGGGGCTTGGGAGCAAAATTTTCCAAATGTAAATGTTGATTGCTTTCCATGAAATTTGCTATGCTTCATACACATGTCAGTGTTTTTAAAAGAGTGGCACAAAGGTTACTTTTTGGGTTGTGAAAGTCCGGGCACATGACAATGCATCCGACTCATTTCCTATATTTGTGCAATGTACTAGGAAAGATGAGTCAATTTGAAATTTAAGGTAGTACTGGTGTGCCAAGAATCTTCTTACATCTTTTAATTTGGCTAGATGACTTATCTAATAGAGAAGCTTGTAGACTACTACTCTCGATTAAGAGATGATTGATTGATTCCTGTGTGTAATGTGGATTGGTTTTTAGTTTTTGAGACCAAGTTAAATACGATGAAGACGCTTAATTGAGGTGCGAAATTGCAGCTGAGATTTTCTGGATGGGAAAGTGAATCTCTGTTATATACTAACTGCTAGACAATCTAGTTGGATAGCATTATATCTTATTGAATAATTTAATTATTTTATAAATTATAAAATTATTTTTAATCAGTTTAGTTAATTGGAAAACAATCTTTCCTCATAAACAACATTGACATACTGCATCCTACATGCACATCCAGAAAAAAGGAGGTTATAGAGATTATATACTTAAAATTCTACAGTCTTCCATAAGAGGCCTGAGACATCTTCCTGAGCTAGGTTATTAGCATATAGAATTTGCAATTTGTTTACTATCTATTAAGGAACAGATAACAACAAGAATGAATAAGTTGAAGAAGTGATTAGGATTTGGCTTCACATCTTGATCAATATGTTCACTTAAAATTCTCAATTCCAATTAATTACTTGCAACTTAACAAGAGTATTTATACTCAAGAGCATCCAAATTTAGATGGAAAAAATAATCTTAATCATAACTACCTAGAATTCTAAAGACTAAAATTATAAATTAATGTGTATCGCTAGGCTATAAGATTATCCTAAAATTCTGAACTAACTAAAGTCCTAAATCAATAGGTTGCCTTTTATATAGATACGGGCAATAAACTTTTTATCAGAAATCAAAGTACTTAAAATGTCTAAAGTAGGGATTCTAAATTATAATCACACTAATTTTCTTTTTAACTATAACTGATAAAGAACCTCCAGTAATCATCTCTCTTTCTTAAAGCTAACATAATCTTGAAGATACTTCTCCAA